CACACACACACACACACACACACACACATGCATAAATAAAAAATAAAAATAAAATAAAAACAAAACTGTAATCTAAACTTCATTAAACTTAGCTGCATCACCTTTATCATTGTGTGCCATGTCTAATTCCTTGTTCACTGTGCACACAAACCTAAAAATCTGTCTTCGGACATCACCACGCACAGTACCATTGGGACATGCTTCACTTGGTCATAACGTATTATACTTTTTATATACTCCTGAATTTGACTTATAAATATTTTGTTATGAGAAATATTGGTCTTTGGTTTTATTTTTGTTTTCCTCATAAACTCTTATTTGATTCTGGTATCAAAATTATAAAAGCTTCATAAAAGGAGTCAGGAAGCCCATATATTTCTATTTGAGGGAGAAAAGGTGACATCAGCATTATTTCTTCCCTGTAAATTTAGTAGGTTGCTAGTGAAAGTTCTTGTGGGAAATTCTTGATTCAACTTTTTCATGGGTATAGGATTCATATAATTTCTACTTTTTGTATCCATTTTGCTGAGCTGTATTTTTCAAGATATATATCCATTGGCTCAAGCTATCAAATTTATTGGCATAGTTTAAATATTTCTTCACTATTCTTTTAAAATCTATGCCTTTAATAATGATAAACCCTCTTCTACTTTTGATATTGATAAATTGTGCTTTCCTTCATTTTCCCCTCTTGGAAAGATTTTGTTTGTTTTTAATGTATTTGGTAGAGGGTCTCACCACACAGCTCAGACTTACAGTGTTTTCAGCCTCCCCAGCACTGGGATTATGGGCATGCACCACCACACCCAGACTCCATGGCTGGCTCAGCACGCCCAGGGGCAGGGCAGGCACAGCATGTGGTGCTGGGGTTCGCACCCTGGTTCCTGCACTTTCATTAATCTTTTCAAAGAATCAATTTATGGCTCTATTGATCTACTTTTCTATTTCACTGACTTTCAGTCTTGCTTATTTCTCCTTTTTTTTTTTCTGGTAACTTTGTAATTAATTTGCTCCTTTTTTGTCTCCCCCACCCCACAGTACTGGATATTGAACTAACAGCCTTCACAATAAGTTACAACCTCGTCCTTTTTTATTATTTATTTTTAGATAGGGTTTGGCTAAGTTACTAAACTGTATGGGACTGGGCTCAGACTTTTGATTCTCCTGCCTCAGCCTCCCAGAGCACTAGAATTACAGGGCTGTACACCCACATCCAGCTACATCTGTGTTCTTAAAGTAGAATCAGAATTACTGGTTTGTAATTTTCTTCTTTTCTAACAAAGGCATTCAACTATAAATTTCCACCTAAGTATTAATCTGTATATATCTTACAAATTTTATGTTGTTTTCAGTATGTCTATTAAAAATGTTTTTTAATTTCCCTTGTTTCTCTTTGACCCATAATTTACTTAGAAATGTTTATTTCAAAATATGTTAAGATTTTATAGACATTTTAATATTATTGATTTCTGAATTAATATCATTACAATGAGAAAATATACTCTGCATAATTTTGTCCATCTACTTCTCCAGGTCTAATTTATGTATGCTATAACTTAAAATCTGAAACAAAACAAATAGTATTGAAATAATGTACTAAAAAATTACCATGTGCATTTTAAAGTTTCATCCTAATCAATATACTTATTATTTTCTTCAGATGTCCAATTCTGTACTTTCTGTGGGTTTTTTGTTGTTGTTTTTGGCAGAACCGGGGCTTGAACTCAGGCCTTTGGGCTTGCCAGGCAAGCGCTTATTCTACTGAGCTATCTAAAAGAAAAATACAAATGTGATCTAAGTCAGAAGCTAATAGTGCCTTAACAAAATTTTAAAAGGTTTTGGAAAATGTAGTCAATTTCAAATTAATTACCCTGGTTACTATCCTGATTTCTATCTTGGATAGAAAATACAAAAGTAAAAAATAACATATATGGGAACACTACTGAGGCATAACAAGTTTCTAAAGTCAAATGTTTTCTAGAAACATACAACAGCAAGTACACACATACACACACACACACACACACACACACACACAGCTACTACAGCTTTGATACAGTTTAACTGTAGAATTGCTTCTATCAAAGCACTTATAATGCTAAGGAATCAATGACAAGTACTAGCACTATGAGTTCATGTTACCAGTCAACCTTACCTTAAGGTACATTCTAGTTCCATTTCCGAGTATGTCGAGACAACACAGAAAATGTATCTGTCAACTAATAAAGAGAAACTGTCTCCAGGATTCAACCAGTGCCAAAGATTTGCCTTCATTGGGAAGAGCTCACTGTCCTCAGAAGACCGGTAAAAACATGGATTTGTGTGGACCTAACAAATAAAAAAGAAAATACAGCGATATCATAATTCAAAATTATGGTAAAAACACAACTATATATGAAGTGATCCAGAATTTTGGTATCAAACTAATTTATATTTAAATATATTCAAAAATGTAATAAGCTGGTAACTATAATTATAATTATTCATAATGAGGGGAAAAAGTTGTACTTCTAATTTTTTCAGAAACTGAAGAAAAAAGCACTCTAAAAGATACTTTTATTTTGCTAAATTAGAGAACTAAACACTGGAAGATAAGGAGTACACATTTTAATGCAGTTTTAAAATGATAAATTATAAAATTCTTCTTAGCTTTCTTTCCAGTTGTCTAGAAATCTAGCACCAACTCTTACTATGAAGATCATCATCCACATTCAAATCACAAGTAATAAAGGTATCTTGCTGCATCCAATGAAAGGACGGAGAAATAAAGATGAGATAATACATAAAAAGCTGAGGTTAGGTGGATCCCTCTCTCCTAATAGGATAAAAGGAACTGCTCAACCACTGAAACTCATTTTTACTTATATATGTGGCAGGCTGACGTCATGTGTCACCCCTCTGCTTCACAAGCTTGCTGCCCATGCCCCGCCCATATTCTCAGGGCTGGAGCACCTATTCCTGCGCCCAGGGCAGGGCGTTCATTGGGCGCTCTAAGTGCTCAGGTCGGCTCTGTGATCACCAGCTCAGCAGCTCCTGACAGCATCTCAGTCTAAATTAATACTGTATCTACTATTGTGAATCATGTTTGCCACTGACTGTCCCTATGCTAACAAAGATAATGAGAGCTGCCTCAGAAAAACCCCTCACTGACAGGCATTTTAAAATCTCAAATAGAATCAAGCTCCAGTTGGCTATTTCTGTAGGTAAGACAGTTTTTTCTCATCAGTGTCACTGGGTTTTTTAAATAAATAAGCTTTTGCATATGACAGAGCAAACTACAGTAACACAGACTTTTATTTTCTAAAAGAATCAAATATAGAACAACTTCCCCTGCCACCCTTCTCTCCAGTTTATCAGTTTCAATGAGACTTTTTTCTGGAGACATCACACTATACTTCAAAGCTGGGACAAGAAGGCAGGAAGATAAAATGTGGGAATAAAAGAAAAGGATAAAAAGTAAAAACAGCTTTTTCGCAACGGGTTTGCCGCGAGAGCACAGGCGTAGTGAAGGCCACCACTAAATCGAAGCCAACATGGGAAAGGAAAAGACCCACATTAATATCGTCGTCATCGGACACGTGGACTCCGGCAAGTCCACCACCACCGGCCATCTGATCTACAA